CCCACATGCAGTCTGCCAGGAATGCCAACAAGAAAAAAATCCCGGGCTTGAGGAATCAATCATCATCGCGCAAACGCCCCGTTCCCGGACGGTCCACGAGTGGATCATGACACGGTGGTTCGCGTCCCTGTCGCACCCACGCGACTGAATGGGGATCAGCGCAAACGCGACGGCGTGCTGCGACTTCCTGTCTGGCAGTTGCGGCGTGGGCGCAGACATCAGAATTTTAGGACGAGTGAATGGGGGGCACACACCATGGGAGCGTCCCGCGCGCATGAGGCCCCAGTGCTCGCCGCGCTGGCAGGACGGGCCGCGCACATGCGCGCGACACCAGTGGCACAAGGGGACGCGTGCGCGCCAGCGGCCGGATGTTCTCTGCGACGACGCATCCCATCCCATGCTGCTGAGGAGCCCTCCCAGCTTCGGGGGCTCGTGAGCAAGCCCGGGTTGTATGGGCGTGGCTGCGGCCCTCGGCGACGCTCGCTTAGGACGACGTACTAGAATGACCGGGGGAACTGGCAGCCTCGGTGCCAGGACTGTGCCAGAGCCCCGCAGGTTGGAACAATTCATCGACGTGCCCAAGGGCCGGTCAGATTCCGACAAGCGTAGGCCATCCCGAGCACCGCCCAGGTCCGGCGCCCTAGGCCTGCAGTCGAGAGCGCGCTGGCAGGCCGCGGCTTGGCAGCGCTTGCGGGGGGTGAACAAGGGGCTCCGAACGCTTCGCGCGTCCACCCTGTCGCCGCCGTGCACGCGTGCGGTGGAGCTAGAGCCGTGCTGAGAAGAAGTCACAGCGCGACGGGCCGAGGCGTGTGCGTGTGCCGTGCGAGGACGGGGGAAAGAGGGCGGTGCGGGGGAGGCTGGACGGAATACAACGCCTCCCGCGGCATTTCCCGCGGGGCTCTTGCGCGGCGTTACCGCCGGCGCCTTTCCATTCCGGGATTTGTTCAAAGATGCCCGCGTGACGCCCGTCACAACATATGGACCCGCGCGTTGATTGGTTGTCCGCCTTGCTCTGCCCGGCCACCGCCCAAGGCATAATGCTATTGGATCCGCGGCACGCACATCATCCAGTGACGTTGTCGATGACCAAACGAATGAGTATGTTGCGGGCCCCTTGCCCCGTGGTGGGACACGCGCAGGCTGCAGGCGTCACTCATGCTGGAGTAAGCTGAGTCTCCCGCTCGGGAATACGACTGAGCTAGCAAGTGTCCGCACCGACACGCCGCCTCCTCTCGTGCTGTGTGCTGCACGGATGTATTTTTAGGTGAGAGTAGTTCTACCCGCGCTCAACCTACTCACTCCCGGCGGCGAGCTAGTTAGACGTGGCACGGGGCGCGAGGCCTGGGGTGCTACCAACGACGTACAGACAGTGGTCGACGACGCGGCGAGGTGCGTCGAGGCGTAGAAGCTCGTCTCGGAGGAACGCGCTTTGCTTGGACGGGCATTCCGTTTGCTTTGGAACAGGTAGAGAGAATACTCTTCCCAGTCATCGATCTCACCACGCTCTTCTGACAGTCCGATGCGGCGCGCGTTCTTGCGCATGGTGGGGTCGGTGACCGGGAAGAATATCATCTCTACCTGTTCCTACCCCTTCCTGTGTGCTTTGGTACCTGTAGGCACGCCATATGGTCCGTCTCCGGTTGTGATCCTTTACTCTTCCTTCACGTTCGGCTGCTTGTGTGCCATTCCGGGATCGCACACGGGCCCTCGCCGACGGCGCGAGGAACCCGGTGACCAACGTTCAAGAACGCACGCCCTGTCTAAATGTTCAAACAACAACTGCGTACCCCTCTTGTTGCGGTTGGGAGTCAAACGGCCTTCCTGACTCCTCCTTGACATGTTGACGTTACGCGTTAGCTCATCATGAACTGCTCGCTGCCGCCTGGCTCAACGTGCCACTCGAGGGCCCCCGGACTATCGGTGATCTGGCTACGCAGCGGAGGCTTCTCGACGCGAATGGTCACGAGAACGTCGTCTCCCGATGTACTTCCAGCCGAACAGCGAGCGCATTGTCCAACCCTGGCGTGCTGGGTACGACTATCCTTGCTGGGCTTGTTCGGATGTGGACGTCTTCGTGTTCTCCCGCCATCCAGCGACACTGGTTCCCTGCTTGAGGCTCAATTCCACTGACGCTCTTGAGCTCGCAGGTCTTTTCGGAGTCCGCGGGGCCAAAGAATGGGTGACAGCCACGTGCGCAAATACAGCCTATCCATGTAGACTTTGCGCATGGTGGCGGAGCAAGCTCGCCTCGCGTCCCTCCAGTTGTCTAAAGCAGCGAGATAATACCCGCTAACGACCACTAGCGACCGGCAAGACTGTCCGACATCTTGTCCTCGATGCGCGTGTATGGTAACAAAGGGGCCGCCGGGGGAGGTGAGGCGGTTACCAAAACCTTCCCAGACGAGACGCCCCGGAAATGAGCGAGTTTATTTCGACAGGCGAGTACTGGTGTCGCATAATTTCAACGTACAGGTTTTGTGGTGTACGGAATCGGTGACTTTCCGCATCACATCTGGCTGATCCCCGTGTGCGAGGAACGTGCGGCGGGGACGTACGGCGGAGATTTGGGGTACCGTCAAGATGGAACCCGCGACCCCGGCCATGTCCGCGCCCCATACACGCCCCGGTAAGGATGCACAGATTCGTCAACACTGCGGGAGCACGGAGATGATCTGCGACGCCACCAGTTGCATCATACCGCCGTCGACGACACGCAGAGATGAGATCACTCGAGGAAGCGGGTGGCCGACGACGAACTGTCAGCGTGCGGCCAGAGAACCTGAGCTGCGGCCTGTCGTCGTGTGGCGGACGGGCGGGCGGGCGCTCGGTTGGGTTCCGTTCTGGAGACGACCTCGCCCGCGCTTCGAGGCCCAACTGTTTGTAGTGTACGCGCGCACCAGCCGTGCATGGGTGGGGGTTCGCGCATCCAGAGGGGGCGGGAGCGCGACGGTTCGGGAAACGGCAGTGCCGCTGCTGGGCGGGCCCGCGCGTCCATCAGGCGCACTGTGGTTTGTGCGTGGCCTGGTGGAGCAAGTGTGTTTCAGTTCCTGTGACGTTCGTCCCAGCAGCTCGTGCGCGTGTTGGGGCCCCGAGGATGGCAAGTTCATCGAAGGGGCGTGGGAGACAGTGCGTCGTTGAGGGGACGCATTGCAGGGCGCTGAAGCCGCCTTCGATGGCGGATGGAGAAGCTCGGTTTCTGGACACGATGTACGGAAGGATGTACCGCTATCGCGCCATGGACGTCCGACGCGGTGCTTCAGGTATAAGATGGGGCCTGAAATCGCCGAGGAGAGTCAGGCCCAGCATCGAACAACCCTCTCCTTCACCGTCGCATCCTCCTGCACCCGCACACTCCTCTCACTTACAAGATGATGTTCTCCCGCATCGCCACTTTCACCCTGGGTGCCCTTCCCATTCTTGCGGCCGCCACCCCCCTCGCGCCCCGGGGAGGCGACGGCTCCTGCTCGACCGGCTCCATCCAGTGCTGCAACAGCGTTGAGAAGGTACGTGAGCGACAACAAAACGGTGGTATATACTCACACACTTGTTGCAGGCGGGCTCTGCTGCTGGGGCGGCCCTCCTGGGTCTGCTCGGTATCGTCGTTCAGGACGTCAACGTCCTCCTCGGTGTGAACTGCTCCCCTATCACAGTCATCGGTGTGGGCGAAGGTGGTTCCTGCAGCGCCCAAACCGTCTGCTGCCAAGACAACAGCCATGTCAGTGCCAGCATGCACATGAACAGAGCACGCACTGACCATTCCATACAGGGCGGGCTTGTCTCCATCGGCTGCCTTCCGGTCAGCCTGTAGAGGGGAGGTCGAGTCGACGCCAGCAACCCGCGCGAGCGATGAATTTCCTCGAATACCCCTGATCGTACGAAGATTATCAGGTGTATGGATTCGTTATGCTTCGGTCTGTCACAGATACTGTCTCGGTGTACTTCCGCGCGCCCGTAATCGATCATAGCCTCTTCCGAGTCGTGTCACGACCAGTTGGTATATCCCGAGCGACGTATCGAGGCGGGTGGGGATTTTTGCTAGAGGCAGGGGCGCATACCTGTTGCCGGGCAAGCGTTGGTAACAACGTCCGAGATCGCCAGGATCCAGCGAAGGTGCGGATGACTACAGGGCTGCTCGGGCGTGAGACCACAGAAGTGTGCGTCGCTTGCCGCCAATTTCTCGGAACGGCAGCGCATTCGCCAAGTCGAGCCATATTCCTGGTGCCAGAAGGAGGCATACCGTCGAGATCTGCTGTTCCAATTCGGTAAAACGCCTCCGGAGCACTTCGTGCACTCACGCCAGGCCACATACCGAGCCGTGGACCGACGCACTGTTGATGCGGCGCCAGGGTAGTACCCATGTTAGGTGACGATCTTCAACCTGGTGACGTACTGGACCTCGTTGTAGAAGTCATGATAGCAGGTATCCATGCGATGACTGCGACCCGACGTGGGAGGGCGGCAGATACAAATAGGACGAGCACAGATGCACGAGGCAACGCTCCACCTGCATAGAAATACTGCGGGTACCAGCCCATAGGTGAAGAATTCCCAGAGGTTCATCTCCGTCAGTCTAGAACAACCGGTAAGCTTTGAATCAAAAACATAACCTAGGAACGCCTGGATGGCTTCAATGACCACCAGGGAAGAGAGTATGTCGACGCAGACACAGGTGAAGTGATGGTAGTTAAATACCAGCGTACCCAACAGATATTCAAAAGAAATTTAGGAGTGACCTACATAGTTGATCATACCGACGTGGTTGGTCCGAGTCTCGAGGGGATCGTTCGTGGAAGGCAAGCGGTGGCTCGTCGCTGCATTGCTTGTGGCGAGCTCGGACAAGAGGATCCGGGGATCACTTGCCACGAGTTGCAAGCTCTCAGGATCCTCTGTGTGTACTATGGACAAGCCCCTTCCTCCTGGTCCTGCATGTGTGCCGTCCAACAACAGGTCAAAAAACACCATGGATCACAGGCGAGGATGTTCCAAGTAAATGAGCAAAAGGGCCTGGCCGGGAATTGAACCCGGGACCTCCTCCAGATTCAACTCGAGAGCTGCCCTAAGAAGGAATCATACTACTAGACCACCAGGCCTTACAAGGAATTATTTGTGTAGCTATGTATATATCTAATCCTACTACACCAACAATGCGCACAACTGAACGCTTGTTTGAACTCTCTCCGGTTTCACCAACTAACTCTCTCTCATGGATACTCAAACATTGAAGTCTTTACACGAACGACTACGTATCGCAACTACCAAACCAACACAGATTGTGATTCATTGACAGGCGCTCTGTTTCGCACTCAGACGGTATTTGACTCGAGCACATTTGTATCATATTACGCAATGCTACTATACTGTGACTATCTCCGAAAAACGTCATGTCAAACCCCACTAGCTTGAACCTCAGATCGAGGGTCATGCTCAGAGGATGATCGGGACGCAACCAATGGAAATGAGGCCACCCTGTTCACATCTGCGAGTGAGTATCGTAGTCGTAACAACAGCTATAATAAGTACTTACGACATTGTTGTTCTCGCAGCAGACGGGGCTGGCCTTGCAAGCATCCTGGCCCACACCGACGCCGGAGACACCCGAGCACTGGAGGCCGACTTGGCCAGTGAGGTTACTGGCGTCGAGGCCGAGGAGGCTCAAGAGAACAGAGACAGCATTCTCATGGGTCTATGCGACAAGATGCGGTCAGCCATCAGTCTCTAGGCGGAGCATGATTGAGAACACACCCCATGGACGGAGTTGCAGCACTGAATGGAACCAGTGTTACAGTCCCCGCGGCGGAGGGGTGTAGCGGCCGCAAAGACGGGGAGGGCGAGAACAGCAACAGCAACGACACGGGCGAACATAGCGAGTGTAAGGGTTTGGGGGTGAAAGAGTGACTGGTTGGTGAGTGCTCGAAGTGCTGAAGACGAGGCAAAGCTAATCGTTGGACGACTGCAATGGAGTTCACTCACACCAATGCTCTTCGTATTTATATTCTAGAGGAACGGCGCGCGGGCGTTCGAGTGATTCGGCGCCGGCGGGACACGGCTGCTCTCAATATTCCGCTGCCAGCCAACTGCCAGCTGGCCGCGTCCGTTTGGTCTGGGGCTCTCGGCCTGACGGGTTCGCTGCCCAAAGACGCTACCCGACGGCGCGTAGCTTCTCGCCTACTCGTAGGCGCCCACAAGGTCGCGGCCGCGCCCTCTTTCATTTGATCGGAAACACCCCGTGCACGGCGAACCACATCCGCGCACCCAGATTTGTATGCATATGGATCGGAAGGCAGCTTCACCGTTCACCGCGTCCCGGCTCTCAAATTCGGGATTAGGTACATTGTGGGTGCTAGTTGTACGCCAGATACATCCCTGCGTGCACCTCGCATACTGCGTAGAGGGCGTCGTAGAGAGATCATGGGTGTCGAGGTCGCTCAGTTGCGCCGTGGTGTACAGGAATAGTCTCAAAGATCGAAGTCCACGGGCGGCACTGCGGACGCACGGTGAGTCAGAAAATGATCCTTCTCCTCAGGGACGCCCGCTCGGACACCGCTGCTGAATTACTTTCACGCTTCTATCCGGTCGGCCAGATGTGTCCGGTGAGGTTGGTTATCCAATCTTGCCGTTGACAGTAGGTGATCCGTCGCTGAGTCTGGAACTCGAGAACAGGAGAAGGACGTACCAGCGCTGACAGGCCTGCAGTGTCGCTTGGCGGCCCTGCATGCGTGTGTCGTGCGCGGGTGAAGCGTGTCTTCTCCCAGCGCTGCGATGGGAATGGTCAGGGTATGTTGGAGCAACGCCTAGCAAGGTATGCTGAAGTTGACGACAGACAGCACCACATATTCGTACAAACAGGGTAGTAGGAGTTGCGAGTTGAGGCATCGGATAACGTGACGGCCTTCCCAATCAACATGAGCGCTGTCCCAAAACTGCGGCTCAGTACCGAGCCTTAAATGTGGCATGCGTCCCGCACTGTGCTGAAATGCCGTGTTTGAACGACCACAGCGCCGTCAGAACATTCCCGTGCGAATGATCTTCCAAGGGAGACGCTGCGGACTATCCATTCAAATGAATCGAAGCTCGCTCGAGGTCCCCGTCTTCACGGTGGGTCTCAACAGTTATCTCCGCCCAACTTATTTATCCATAGTGACCGACTGTAGCAGATACATGATACGATACGTTCCGAGAATTCTGAGTCCGAGCTGTACTGAAGCTCTTGTATACGAAGCTTAGAGGATGATGGGGAGACATCCGATGGAGATCAGCCCGCCCTAGGACCGATTCGGTGAGTCAGCGAGCTCTGGGCGCTGCCTGGACGCCTGCGAAGACTTACGACGTTGTTGTTGGTGCAGCACACGGTGTTGGCCGAGCACGCATTGCCGGTCCCGACGCCGATGACGCTCAGCGGGGAGCAGTTCAACCCGATCAGCCCGGTAATGTCCCCGAGGACGATGTCGAGGAGCCCCAGCAGGAAGTTGCCCGACGCAGACTCAGACTGAGGAGGACATGAAGTCAGTGGCCGCCGCATCGAGCTCGCGTCAATGACTTACGGTGGTAACGCTGTTGCAGCATTGAATCGCCCCGGTGCTGCAGGTCTGGCGAGCCTGGAGCTCAACGGGGGTGGCGGCCGCAAGAAGCGGGAGGGCGAGCACGGTGTAGGCGGCGACGCGGGAGAACATGGTGAGTCTGCTGAGTGCTCGAGGAGGTGGTGAATCGGGCTGATGAGCTGAAGTTTGTAGGGCTCGTCGCGTTGGCTTTTATACGGTTGCCCTTTGATGCAGGCTCCTCCTAGTCTGTCCTGTGTCTCTACCCTGCTGTAGGCGTACCTGGACGGACCTATTGGTCCTTGAGCACATGTTGCTATCACGGTGTGTGCCACTCATGCTGTGTTCTATTCTCTGCTGTGGCGAGAGAACATAATCCACGGTCATTTCCCCATGAAGGCAACGTGGTTTCGTCGTTCGGCTGGGTGCCCGAGACCGTCGCTCGTGGTACCCCGTCGTCGGTGATGGACATCGGACCGTGCATCCAAGACATTGATTGTCATGGACTCCTGTCAGTATACTCGGCTACGCGCCCCCCGCTGCTTCACGTTTACTGAGCTCCGCGACAGCGCGTGTCCCCGGGGAACATACCCGGGGAACATACAAAGTGCCCTTTCCACAGCTAAACCGAAACCCTGAAGCGTACAAACGCACAAACCCCGTGTAATGAGATCCTAAGAGGCCAAGTCTGGGCACGGCGCACCATTGGACCCGTGTACGCTCATTCTGCACTAGAATCCATATGATTGCCGCCGAATGTCTGGACTCACGGCACGGCCTGCTCGTCGCGGCTGTACACAACTGTATCGCTCTTGGCAAAGCTTCGAGGGAATGCTCGTCCGAGTACGTCTGCTGCCTCATGTCTGGCCGCGTTCCGGAAAGGATCATCCCAGCTCAGCTGACGTTGGGGTTGGCAGCCCTGCGCGAACATAGCATACGGCGCCCGCCGTGCCGAGGGTTGACATATAGCGACAACGGTGTCAGTAGCTGACCGGGGCGACGACAGAAGGAGAAGGCCCGAAGCGCTGATATCTTAACGATATACGTCCCCTAGTAAGTTTCATTACCACCAAGCATTCTCGGCGCCGCGGCGTTGTAGGTGGGCGTGAGCAATGTCTATCTCTCATTGGCTGGGGGGATCTCGGTAATGAATGGGGCGGGTCGTAGCGCGGCCTGTGCGGCGCTGAGGTTGGATGTTAGGGCTGTCGAGGCGCGTTCCGGTTTCTCGAGCACACCCACCGCGATTCTCCAGCCTCGACGCCGTCTAGGTAGTTCTTCTAGTATGCATTTCAATCGGTTAGCGACACACGTTATACGCCCTTCCACGCGCGGCTGATTTGTGTAAGGAATAGAGCACAGACATTTCCGCCATACCGTGGACAGAAACATGAGGGCGCCATGCATCCTTCAGGCACGCCAATAAAACTTTGGGATAGTTGGCGGCCACGCGCGGGTGCGTGCACAAGGCGTTCCACAGCATCCGGCAAGCTCTTTACCTCCGCATCCACGGTGAAGGGCCGCGAAGGCGGGCCAAGTGCGGCTGTAGCTTCGGCAAGAGTATCCCTAGTTCTTGTCCTTCCCATCCCGCCGGCATGCCGTTCTCGCTCGTTTTTGTGCCTTTGTACATCTTCCCTTGAACATACTCCGACGACTTATGCTCGGGTATGTGTGGGCGCATGGTATGTCTTACTACTAAAGCCAGCGCCAAGACATTAGTCAATGTTTGCCAGATAGGCTTCAGCATTTCAAGACCAGATTGATAACATGCATCAGTCACCGAGCGGCAAGGTTATGGTAACCTTAGTTTAGGCCTCCGCGCCGCCCGGGATGATTTTTTGCGCGTGCGTTAGTGGCGCCTCACTTCCAGCCGCGCTGCTCGACGGCCATTTATCGAGTCGGGTCCCGCGTCCCCCCACGCCCAGCCACGGCATCGGTGAATAGTGGAGCGGGTCCGCGCGGGACATGCATGGTGTGTATTCTTGGTCATGCACATTACATCGTCTATGATGACAGCGGAGGCAATGTACGCGGTGGACGCAGAGACTCATAGCGCGGCGACACCGACATGAAACGTCGTATTCCTCTCCCCCCGCATGGCTGGTGACGTCTCTGACGTGAGGGGTATGCTGTCAGCGACCCTCGCCGCAGGGTGCACTCGGACCTTGCCCTTCAAGAACGTTAGGGTTATGACAAGAGTACCCTCGCGTCGTAGAGCCTCCCCACGAAGTTTTGAATTGACCGGCAGCGCTTGCCCGAGTATTAGCACGAGGTGATTGGACTGTCTTAAACGGGGGTCGCGGTGCGCTGAGGCTTGGGACCCGGTCAACACTCGCGGTAAGGTACAGGGTCAGACATCAGCACACAAGTGTTCCGGAGTGTGTCCGTTATAAAGACGTACGAGCGTATGTCGCCGGTCGACCAGCCCGACCCATCACCTTTCCACATCCAGGATCACAGAACGTGTTTGCAAGTCCAGTCATGCTATCCCGCGCAGTAGCGACATTCTTTTTCGTGTTCTCTTTGATCCTCCTTGCGGCCGCCATGCCAGGCGGGTC